ATGTGTTCCATTTGTTTTATATTTGTCATTTATGTCTCAATAATGGAGAAGCCTACCTTACATACACTGAGTAAACCATTATGACATTTTCCTTTCTTCAAATGTGTTCAATATTTATTTTTCATTTGTCTTATAGCAAAAGGTTCGTTCGGTGGTCGGCAGGTAGGCTGCTCCATGTTTCTTACATACAAAAAACGTAAATAATAAAAAAAATGAAGAATTTTGAAAACCAGTACAAATGTCAAAAAGGTTCGTTCGGTGGTCTACAGGTCGGCTGCTCCATGTTTCTTAAATAAAAAAAAAAACGAAAAATAAAAGAACTGTTGAAACAATATGAAAAATGGACAAATGCCATAAAGGTTCGTTCAGTGTTTGTCGGGTAGGCTGCTCCATTATTGAGATGTAAGTGACAAATACAAAACAAATGGAACACATTTGAAACAAAGAAAGATTGTCATATTGGAGCAGCCTACCCAACAAACACTGAACAAACCTTTTGCTATAACGAATATGAAAGACAAGGGCTGCTCGCTGGGTTAGTACTGTGTGAGCAACCATTTGTAGCACACGTGCCTCTGGCTCTCAAACACCTGTCCCACACGGTGTTGAAAGACTGCGTTCAGTCGGTGCAATTCAGACCCTATTGTTTGAAGAACATAAGGGTCATAACATTGGTGAAGCTAGGCGCAATAAAGTCTTAACACAACGGTCGGATGCCAGTGATACAGCACCTATGAGGATGATACAGCAAGCGTATCCAGTTGTAGCTCTGAGCTCCCTTGCCATCTCGAATTTATATAGATGATACATAGATGAATCGTTTTCTGCGTTCAGTGATGATGCATCTGATACAAGTAGCATAGATGAACAGTGTTAGCGGCTTCCATGGTGGTGTTGTTCATTGATATTTTCAAGAATACCTGAATCTCTTCCTGGCTGATGGACACTCTTTGAGGCTAGCTGAATCTCTTCCTGTGTGGGACCTTACAAAGTGATCTTTTCAATACTACCTTATGCTTTACAAGCTTGGCTACATACCACCTACAAGTACTAAAGCCAAGGGTGCACGCGAGTGCGTTATTTGCAAGCACACAGAACGATGAAACAGGAAACGAAAATCTCTGTAGCTGGTGCAACGAGAGCAAAGTCGCGCTGTGTACCATGGACTACTTCGTTGACTATTACGCACCTCCAAAGTACTGAGTGTCTAATACAGTGTGTTACTGTGTAAATAGTATGTGAAACTGTACATATTGTAATTTTAGTGAATTTTTACCACGTAATATTGTGACAATAAACATTTATTGTGGACACATTACTGACACATGTATCACAGTTTCATGGAAAATTATGAACATTCTACTGTATACATATTGTAAAGGTCACAAATATGCATCATATACGATAAAAGAAACAAATAAAACCGCATTGGAAATGCATTGAAAATATATTTGTGGCAACACGCGGTGCTTGAATGGCCTGCGCGACCGTGTCTGGGAGCTTTACACACGAGCGACCAGCCCCTGATGACGTCACAGCGCACCTTGTCCACGTCCTCACATCCAAAGTAAGTGGAATTTGGTAATTATTTTTACATAGACATGTTCAGGGACGGTAATTTATCATTTTGCAAAGAAAAATGATATTTTGGGGAACATTTGATGTCATGCACACTGGGGAAATTTCACAATAAACACAGTGCATCACACTGGTTACATGGGGGACACTCGTTTTGTATGACGTCTGTTTCACATGACGAACATGGAACATGGAACATGGAGTTCTAGGCCTACTGGGGACCAGTGTCACAACCTGACCCCCCTTAGAGAGTCATGAGGAGCAATGGCCTATAGAACCCCCCCCCCCCCGTGTAATTCGAAGCAGTCTATGTCTGCCATCAACCAGGTCAAGCACCCAGAAAGGTAGTAATTCCAAAACAAACTATAGCTGGTTAAAAATTGCAAACTGGAAGCCGAACTAGCAAGCTTTCCCCCTTTTCCCGGGAGGGGAAACGTAATGTCATCATCCCATCATTTTCTAGTGTGTGGATTGGTCAACATACTTCAGCCATGTTATTGTGACTCATCGCCTGCTTCAGGTTCCTCCTTCCGGAGGCTTTCGGCTTTTCGCATCCCTTCTCGGGAGGTGCTGGAGGCCCTTGCACCTTACTTCCTGCAAGACCCGGATTATGCCTCGATAATGGATCCTTCTTCTTTTGAGTTTGGCACCTCTTTTTTTTCTTACTGGGTACTGTGATCATAATCATAGACTCCGGCACCTTGTAACGTACCCAGTAAGGAAAAGAGGTGCCAAACTCAAAAGACGGAGGATTCATTACCGAGGCGTAATCTGGGTCTCGCAGGAAGTAAGGCGTAAGGGCATCCAGCAACTTCCGAGGAAGGATGCAGGAAGCCAGAAACCTCTGGAAGGAGGAACCCGAAGAACACAAAGGAACCCAGAACTGAATCCGAGGAAGAGCCAAACTCATATTAAACTCATACATGAAGGGGGGGATAGGAAAACCCCTCTCCCTGTAACAACAAGCCCCGTGCCGAGTGTACCAACACCCAAGCAGGGTCAAACAGGGCCCAAACCCCCCAAGTCAACTCCTCCCAAGCCCCGGGATCCTCCACATCAAGACCTGGGGCAGAGCTGTCCTCCAAACCGTCTGCCTCTGAAGAAAAGGCAGAGTCCACCAGAAAAGCAGGGATGAAGGGGGCCTGCTGGCACGACCCGAAAGCCCTGGCAGGAGGAACAGGCTCAAATCCCTCGCTGCCGATCCGGATGGGGCAGTCACCGAGGCCACCCGAGCCTAACCACCAATAAAACCCTGCCCCGACTCCGAAACCCTCAGACGTGTGGGAGCCGGAAGCAGGGGGTAGGGGTGAGGGGGAGCAAGATGAAGCAAAGCAGGGGAAGGAAAAGGGGACAGAGCAACCCTCAAACTCGCACAAAGCGAGGTGGGACTCAGAGGACTCCCTTATTGGTCCAAGAGCCCCAATGAGGGTTCCCAGGGCCCTTAGGCAGACTGCTAAGGGAAGCCCAGACATAGTACTGCTAACCAGTTATCTCAGAACTACCAAGCAATCAAACTAAAAGCTGAGCCCCTGCAATGTGTACAATCATGGGGCCTATAGGAGGGCCACCAATATACAAGTAGACCTATAACCACACAAGGCAGACCCCCACCAGGCAAACAAAACAAAAAGAAAAGAAAATTCCCGCAAATGCACAACGTCTCCAAGGGAACAGAACCCGCCACTATAAGTATATCAAACAGCTACACAGTATCTTGCACCCCAGCCAGTGACAAAACTACCTCCTACCCAAGGTCAAACAGGAATAAGAACAACCCCAGCTGACCTCAAGCGCTGGCAATCACCAAACAGCAAAAGAACCACGTGGAGGTAGTCTCCCAAACAGCTTATGGAAGATAACCCTAAACCGGAAAGGCAGTACTGTCAGGGCACCTAGGAAAGGTGACCCTAGGCACATGCAGCCCCAGTAGTGTACTGTTGTATTACTCCTGGCTCGCACACCACCACATAGTAGAACAACACCGCTATGGACAGCACTGCTCAAAAGGATGGAGCCAGAGTCAATCGACCGCCACCAAACACAACAGCCTCTGAACTCAAGTTGTGTAGCCGGCATGAGGGGGGTCTGGGGCTTTCCCTTTGCCCTCCCGGAATAAGGGGGAAAAGAACTAGGGAATTCCTAGTTCTGCTTGCTAGTTCCGGTTTCAGTTTGCAATTTTTAACCAGCTACAGTTTGTTTTGGAATTACTACCTTTCCGGGTGCTTGACCTGGTTGATGGCAGACATAGACTGCTTCGAATTACACGGGGGGGATGGTATCTATAGGCCATTGCTCCTCATGACTCTCTGAGGGGGCCAGGTTCCGGCACTGGTCCCAAGTAGGCCTAGAACTCCATCGATTGACTGTTTCCACGGTCTAATATATAGACATCAGCCCGGTATAGCTCCAGGGAGCCGAAGGGGGTCTCCACAGAAAACCGTGATAAAGACATTGAATATATTTTATTTTATTCATATTTTTAATGTGTTTACTTACAACTTTGGTGCAAAATTTATGAGGCTAGGCTGACATTGGATCAATGGTTATGAGATTATCACAGTCACCAGAACTACTTATTGGATTGTAACGGTGCATAAACATGTAGATACCGTCTAAGCTCGCTTATCCAGTCTATATGGGAAGGACCCCTCACCAGATAAGCCAGACATTCGGATGAGCAGAATTACTGAGGAAGTCCAAAAATGACCATGTTCACAATTTTTTGTACTATAACCAACATAATTTGAATTTCAAAACACACACACGCTATAAATCAAAAATATAACTTAAAAAATAAACTTCAGCTTACCTTGTCTTGTTCATCTTGTTTGATACTGTACATCTTGAAATGTGTAGTTCTTGAAAATTTACATAACCTTATCTCCAGTTATCTGGATTTCTGTCTGGATATGGTGAAGTTTTGCAAAAAAATTATCCAAACTTGACTGTGTCAGTCTGTGTTATCTAACCAAATCTCTGGTTATCTGGATTTCTGTCCAGATATGGCAACGCTTTGCCTGAAAATTATCCAGACAGGATTTTGGCCAGATAACCCAAATATTCGGTTCAGCGGGCTTAGGATAAGTGAGTGTGGAGTATGTCTCTTCACTCACTGTCTGGGAAACAAAGCTCGAAAAGTCCCTGCTGCACTGGGGAGTGAAGGACGTCCTTGCTTGGCTGTTGTCAAGTAGTAGTTAGAGCAGGACCATGTGTCAAAGCCAACTTGTGTGGTTTAGGTCAGAATGATATATGTATAGTCTATGTTGAAGTAAAAGTAATTAGATAATTTTAATTTAATCTTGTCAATTATAAGAAAATTAATCAATTTTTAACCAATTACAACAGCTAGTTGTTAAAATAAAGTTTTAAAGTTATAATCTAGTGAATTATCATATAAATGGTATTGATATTTGTTGTTTCAGGTCGGTGGTGTGATATTTTGGGCTGCAGGAGCTGACGCTACTCTGTGGATAGGGTTAATGGAAGGAGCTGTTGTGATACATCAGGTTTCTGGCTATACAGTCAGGAACGCTACCTTTACCTCTAACTCCACTCTGAATGGCAACTGGCATACTCTCTTGGTGTCTTTTGATTTTACAGGTCTTCAGGTAAAGAATATTAATTTATAGTACATATTTCTTTCTACACTACAAGTATACTTTTTAGAGTTTGTAATCTATATGTACTACTGTATAAATTCATTCCCTCATTCTGCCTGGGGCATATAATATTCAAGTTGGGCATTTATGTACCCATAAACAACCCTATACAGTAATTGAAAGACTGGCTTTTAAGTATTTGTGGAAGTCCAAACTTAATTGTCTTATTCTCAGTGGTGTTTTAATTCCTCTGCTGTTGCTAGTTTTCTTAACTTTCAATGTGAATGAATGCATAACAGTGCTTATAAAGCCAAGTAAAAACCAGGTATAAAAATTATTGGAAAAATACTAATCATAGGAGGAACCTAACCTGGTTATTATGTTCATTATAGTGAGACACGGTTTCATAAGCCTTGTACAGTCTATGGAATATTAATATTTGTCTTTATATTGACAGGTTATGTTGGATGACACAACTTTGCTGGGTACAGATATTGCTGTAATTGTTAATTTTACATCACTTGTGATCAATGGTATGTATCAAATTATTTGTTTAGCTTAAAATGATTTTCTTGGTATTTTATGTGATTAAATAGGAATCACTGATATACACATGTACACTGCATCACGGTAAATAATTAAATAATTAAAATTAAACAGGTAGAATACTTGGAAAAAAGACATAATGACAGACAAACAGTATGGTTCCGATTTGGAAGATCCTGTGTAACAAATTTACTTAGTTTCTATGATAGAGCCACAGAGATTTTAAAGGAAAGAGAGGGTTGGATTGACTGCATTTATCTGGACCTAAAAAAGGCTTTCGACAGAATTCCATAAGAGGTTGTTCTGGAAACTGGAGCATACTGGAGGAATGACAGGGAGGCTTCTGACTGACAGAAAAATAAGGGCAGTAATCAAAGGCAATGTATCAGACTGGAGAAATGTCACGAGTGGAGTACCACAGGGTTTAGTTCTTGCACTTGTAATGTTCATTGTCTACATAAATGACTTACCAAAAGGAATACAGAATTAATGTAAATGTTTGCCAATGATGGGGCCTGACAGTCGAGTGGACAGCGCTTGGGATTCGCAGTCCTAAGGTTCCGGGTTCGATTCTTGATGGAGGCAGAAACAAACAGACAGAGTTTCTTTAACCCTGATGTGCCTGTTCACCTATAAGTAAATAGATACCTGAGAGTTACAGCTACTATGAGCTGCTTCCTGGGGGAGTGTAACAAAAAGGAGGCCTAGTCGAGGACCGGGCCACAGGGACTCTAATCCCTGAAATCATCTCAAGATAACTTCAAGATTGATGATGTTAAGATACTAGGCAAGATAAGAACCTTAGACAATTGTTATACCCTTCAAGAAGACCTGGACAAAATAAGTGTATGAAGCATTACTTGGCAAATGGAATTTAATGTGAATAAATGCCATGTTATGGAATGTGGAATAGGAGAAAATAGACCAAACACAACCTGCAAATTATGTGAAAAATCTTTAAAAAATTCTGATAAAGAAAGATCTAGGAGTGGTTCTAGATAGAAAACAGAGGGCCACAAAAAAATTTAGTGAGGAGCCTATACTATACTTACGTATGTACCTTGCCTTGAGGTTAGCTTGAGGTGTTTTCGGGGCTCAGCATCCCCACGGCTAAGTATTCTACGTATGCTATGTATGTGTCGCTTTCCAACTTCAGACTTGCTTTTAATTATAGAGATGGTGAAATACTAAAAACTGTTACTTTTGTGAAACCAAAATTGGAATATGCAGCAGTTGTACGGTGCCCAAATCTCAAGAAGCACATAAATAAACTGAAAAAGGAGCAATGACATGCTACAAAATGGCTTCCGGAACTGAAAAACAAAGAGTTACGAGGAGAGACTAGAGGCGTTAAACATGCCCAAACTAGAAGAGAGAAGAAAAAAAATGATATGATCACCGCTTACAAAATACTGTCAGCAATCAACTAATTTGACAAAGAGGAATTTCTGAAACCAGCAACTTCATGAACAAGTTGACACAGATTCAAGCTAAGGAAACAAAGGTGCTGAAAAATTATTAGAAAGGTTTCTTTTGCAAACAGAGTGGCAGATGGTTGGAACAAGTTAAGTGAGAAAGTGGTGGAGGCCAAAACTGTCAGTAGTTTCAAAGCGTCATATGACAGAGTACTGGGAAGATGGGACACCACGAGCATAGCCTCTCATCCTGTAACTACACTTAGGTAATTACAGGTAGTGACAAAGCACCAGACAAAACACACCCCAGCCAGACTAACAAAGCAACAATCATCAAAGATCCCCTCCGGAAACCAGCTAACTCATTCTCCGACAGAAAAAAAATACTTTTGAAGAACAAATTGCCACCAGGGCTGAAAGAAGAGAATCTTTTATCTGGAGAAGAGCATGAAACTCCCCAACCTTGAGCCAGAGGCAAGAGCCAAAAAACCATAGCTGTAAGAAAAACCATCCTGGGCTGAAGGAGCAACTGCGAACTGAGAAGAGGAAAGAAACACTAAGACCCTGTCAAAAGACCAAGATGGCTCAGGAGATGCACGAACTGGTTGAATGCACGAGACAAATTGTTGAATGGTGCTAGAGCTACATTGACACTCAATGCCAGAAATGGGAGCTCCATGAATGGCAAACAAAAATAGACAACAGTATTAGGCAAAAGATGCCTATCTAAAAACAACCACATCAAGATGGACAGGATTGCCTAAATTCAAACTGTAGAAAGATGACAAATAAGACAGACAGAGGTGAAATTAGCACCAGGCAACTTTATACTGATGCTTCAAAGAGACATACTTGTGGGGCACCAACAAACAAGTCACCTGCTTGCTATACAAATGACAACAAGCCCTCATCAGAAAATTCAGACCCGTAGAGGAGAAAGGCGAACTGGTTAGGTACGATACCATGCCGATTCGTTGAAAGAGACAGAGCTGCAGAAAAACATCTAAGTTTGGACACTGGAAAAAAGTAAAATAAATGCTGGAAACCAAGGTTGAGCCGGCCACCAAGGAACAATAAGGATCACCCTCCCAGAGCATGACTTCAGCTGTACAACACTCGGAGCAACAACTGAACCAGAGGGAAAGGTGTATGAAACCCTATATACCCAGGAACTAGGGATACTCACTGAAAGAACAGACACTGAATGCAGATTGTAAACAATATAGCTATGAAGGGCATCCACTGAGTGCCATGCAAACAAGCTTGCAAGGACCCTATCACACCTCACTCACCACTAAGTAGGCTGCCCCCAGCCTAGTAGGGCTATGCAGAGGAGTTGACGAGTTTTGCACTGCCCAAGACAAGGCTCCCCACTCGTGGTAGTCAGGCCTCTCAAGGGTAAACCCTCAAACATGCCAGTGTGTCACCAGAGGACCAGATAAAAGGACATTGTGCATGAAGCATATGCTATGCTTTCCAACTTCAGAATCACTTTTAAATACATGGATGTTGTTATACATTATTGAAGAAAATATTTACAACCTCTGTGAAAACAAAATTGAACAATGCAGCAGTTGTACGAGTCTCATATCTCAAGAAGCACATCAGTACTGGAAAAGGTGCAAAGACATGCTATGAAAGGCTTCTGGAAAAATGAGAGCTACGAGGAGGGGCTAGAGGTGTTATATGTGCCGAAGATGGAAGAAAAAGGGGCAATGTGATCACTACAGCCAAAGTAGTAACCTATATCAAGAAAATTGACAGAGTAATTGAAGTTCTTGAAGCCTGCAACTTCAGAAACAAGAGGTCATTAATTCAAGATAAGGAAATAAAGGTGCCAAAAAATATTAGAAAGCTCTATTTGTCAAACAAAATGGTAGATGATTGGAACAAGTGAGGTGGGGGTGGATGCCAAAACCATCAGTAGTTTCAAAGTGTTACTTAACAAAGAATACTGGAAGACGGAATTCCATGAATGTAACTCTCGTCTTGTAGCTTCACGTAAGTAATTACTTCACATGGGTAATTACCAGACAGAACTGTCAGTGCAAGGGCAGCAGTAGATGATTACCCAGGGAAGGAAACCCCGAGGTCAACCAGGCTGAGTTCATACGTCAGGCTGCGAGCAGCCGCGTCCAACAGTCTGGTTGACCAGACAACCAACCGGGAGCCCTGGTCTGAAACTGGGCCACAGGGCCTTTGATTCCCAGAACCTCCACTAGGTAGCCACAAGGTAGCTCGTAACATAAAATTTGCCAGGCTCATGCAATGTTGTCATCACATGAACATGCACATGAAGCAAATACAGAAAGAAAAGAGAGATTCACAAGCATAGGGCCCCCCTCTCACAACAAAATCTGAAGGATGGCTGGCACTTAGAAGCAGTAGGACCAGCTGCAGAAGAATGGTCCGGGAAGCACTCAACAAGTAGACTCTCCTACATCTGCAACAGGACTGACAGGCAGGGCAAGTGTGAGTTCGGCTTCCAGGCTGCTTGGTGGGGTACTATATATATCAGTACTAATTGGTTTATGCTTGAGTGGATAACTTGTTTTGCCTGAATAGTTTGCAGCTCTATTATGCCATTTTAGTGTTCTATTTTCTATGAACCTTACTGTTGTTCATAAAGCTACGCTAACTTTGTGGATACTTTCCCTGTGTGGGTTATAATAATGTGTCCAGCACTGTGCGCCTCTGTGAGCGGGCCAGGTTCTGATACTGGTTCCCCAGCAAGCCTACCACGACTCTTGCCACTGATTGATTGATTGATGAAGATTAAGCCACCCAAGAGATGGTATGGGCATGAATAGCCCATAATCTTGCAACTGATGTGACCCAGTAGTGGGATGCCATCTCAGCAAGATGGCTTCAGGGAAGCCATCCAGTTGCTTCTTCCAGAAATCTTCCTGGACTGGAAATACTGTATGCAAATAACACAACTTACTGTACCTGGTATCTTAACAAAAATGTAGTTCAGCAGAAACTACTGCCAGTCAGCCTTACCTCACTCATCTGCAAGCTTAAGAAGGGAATCCTAAGGAAGAAAATCACATACCATCTCTCAGTGGATAATCTTATAAAACCAACACATGGTTTTATCAAAAACAAATCCTGCCTAGGGAACCTGCTCACATTTCCAGAAGCAGCAGCCCCACACACCCACAAAGTAGGTGTAGCACAGTGGTCTATATCCTCAGGTTATAACCGAGGAGTCCAGGTTCGACCCCCCTGCTGAGACAGAGACAGTTGGGAATGTTTTATTTTATCTGATGCCTCTGTTCATCTAGCACATACCTGGGAGTTAGGCAACTAACTCCAAGAGAAGAGGGAGAGGGTGGGAGAAGGGGGGGGAGAGGTGGAGAGGGGGTAATGTGGGAGAGAGGGTTGAGAAAGGAGAGGGGGGGAAAGAGAAGGGGGGATAGGGAAAGGGAGATGAGAGGGGGCGGGGAGACCCAGGTGCAGCCAGGTACCCCATCTAGTGGATAAATAAAAACCATTGAGTAATTATATACACACACTTTGTCAATCCTTCCCACTTTTATACTTATGCAGAGGTGATGAAATAGTCAAATAATAAATACATTTAATTGATGTTTAACCACTTACTGTAATTGATTGTTCATCACTTTAACAGGAGATATAACGATTGGTGCAATCCCTGGTACATTGTCAAGCCACAGCCTTCTGGACCCGTCTCTCATTACCTCAACAACTACCCCAGTCACATCTCTTCAACCTGAGGAGTCTATGCCTAACGTGTTTCGAGGGTGCTTAGGAGCCACTAGGATCCAAGGAGTATTAGTGCCATTCTTCTCACAGCTGGATCTTATCAACAATACTGCAGCTAACCAATTTCTAAGAATGGTAAGTAATGTGGAACGTTGTCTTTTGTTATTTGGATTCAAAGTTATTCTGAGAAAGCTGCTATGGAAAGGGGAAGAAGATACAGTACAGTGCTGTTATTCAGTACTGTATTATAGCTGAGCTATCTTCAGATTTTTATTGTAAATACTAATAACTTAAATAGTCTTGCTCAGCTTATTCAACTCCTTGGCTATACACCTTTTTGTGGTACAACACCCAGGTGGGCATAAAAAAAAGAAAGCGTTGAATGTAATGAAATGCCATTTTCTGGGCGAGACATGAAGACTCCCCAGAGCTATACCGGGCTGATGTGTATATATTAGACTGTCACAACAGTCAATTAATGGAGTTCTATGCCTACTGGGGACCATGAGCCAGAACCCTGGTCCCCTTAGAGAGGCACGAGGAGCAATGGCCTATAGAAACCCTATTTTCCTATAGGCCATTGCTGATGAGGTACTCCTGGCCACCGCACAACACAAAACACGGCAGTGAACGCCACACAAGGCAAACACCGCCTAGGAAACTGAGGCCAGAGAAGCGTCTATCCCGGTTGACATTAGCTTACGAACTGAAGCTAGGCAGCCGGCGCAGTAGGTCCGGGGCTCCCCTCTCCCCCTCCCGAGGCAGGGAGGGCTGCGCGGACAATCAGCGCGGCAGTAAAGTGTGATGTTTGCTTGTTTCCTTGGGATTGTAGGGAGTTTCTATCTCTCTGTTCGGTTTTTTGTTTTAGTTTTTTACCATGTGGGGTTTGTTTTGTTATGCCTACCTTTCTGGGTGCCTGACCCCGGTCAATGGCAGATAAGGAAAACCCCAACCACAAGGGGGTTTTCCAGGTACATTGCTCCCTGAAACCTTTCTGAAGGGGCCAGATTCTGGCGCTGGTCCCTGGTAGGTCTGAACTCCTTAGCTAATGTCCCGGTCTAATATAACATACATTAGCCCAATAAGCTCCAGGGAGCCTCTGGGGCTCACCCAGAAAATGGCGTTTCATTACATTCAACGCTGGTTTTTTCAACATTTAACACGTCTGTTTCTATGTCTCTCACCTGGGTTATACACTTCACAAGGGTCTCTCTTACCTGATATGCCATGCGCTCCATTCTGCAGGCTGTCTTATGTGCCCCCAGCCTACTTTTGTACCCCCTGAACTTCCTTTGGCACTGGGGTGTGTTCTTTCCTTGCCTTCTTCTCTGTTTCTGGTGTCCCCTCTGGTCCGGGTTTCTTTCTTGTGTTGTTTGATTGCTCTCTCACTTCCTGTTGTTGAGTGAGTGAGCTGCTTGCTTTCCTCCAGCGCCAAGGCTTTTATTCCTTTAGCACTGGTAGACGATTTCATTGTTTGCTGCTGACACTTCCATTTCTGGCAGAGTCCGAGTTGGTTGACTTTCGTTAGGGTCATTAGGTCTTCTGTTTTGCTGTTTGGTTGGGTCGGATGGGGATGCATCTTGTGTTGTGTTCAGTGGCAGTTAGCTGCAGCTTACGTGCCGGCAGTTCTACCTCAGCGGCCCCTTTGTGTGTTTTCTTGTTGCTTAATATCATCTTCCCAGGTTTGGTTTCTCTGCTTATGCACAGTATCATTTTCTCATGCCAGATTCAAGTCTTCCTATGCACCTTTGCTGTTTAGTCCTTGCTGCTTTCAGCTGGTTTTGCAGCTGTGTTCTGGGCTCCTCTTTGGGTGCTGGGGTTTTGGGGCTCTCACAGGATTCTGTGGTTGCGGTGCTCTGAGATTAGCACTCTTATGTGGCCCTGGATCTTGCGGGATCCCACTGGGTCATTCTGTCTGGCCAGTCTACTGTCTGTCCTCACAACCATAATGTTTGCAGCTGTGCCACTCCTTCAGCTGACTTTTATGTCCTGGGCAGCTTTTGGGGGCAGGGGGGGGGTCGCTCTACTTTCTGGAGGATCAATGTCTCATCCTTGAGCTCGGTTCCCGGCACCTTGATGTGGTTTGGGGTCATGTCCCGGCCATGTGTCTTGTCTTTGTCTTCCTCCTGCAGCACTTCCTCCTCCCTGGTTGGTGCCCATGTGTTTGTTCTTCGTGGGTAGTTAGCTTCAGGAAGCCACCGGGGCTCACCTAGAAATTGGCATTTCATTACATTCAACTCTGGATTATTTAGGTACTATCTTGTAACAAACACCATGACCAACTTTTGAAGTCTTTCATACTATTTACATTGAAGTAGCATTATAGAAAATTTCAGCAGTGTAATTCACACCAAATTTACAAAAGTAAATAATTACTGTTTGATTTGCTGTTTCATTCTTCTTTTAAAATATGACAGTGTGATAGGTTATATTTCTGCAAATGTTCAAAATGTTTGCATGTGTCTTTTGAAATGTCTCTGTGAGAGAGAAGGTGTTAAAATATAGAAAAACATTAGTTACAATAAATTTGTCTTTTACAGGATGAGTCTTTCACCAGTATTGGTTGCACCGTTTGCTACAACGAAGAGTGCATGCATGGAGGCGTATGTTCCAAACCAGCAGAAGTCTTTAGTTGTTCATGCCCAGTTGGATTTGACGGGAAATTATGTGAGATAAACATTGATGAATGTGTTGGTAGCAAATGCCTTAATGGAGCAAATTGTGTTGATGGCATTAACCAGTATACATGTGCATGTATGCCTGGCTACACTGGAGAATTGTGAGTATGCTATACAAATAAAATGAGTAATCCATGCAGTAATTTTTAACAAGGTATTCATTTGACAATTATTTGTTGTGTACTAGAGCGGTTGGCATTGAAAGGGAATCAATAGTGGCCAAAGAATGGCACTATTGCCACTGCCTTCTCTCACTGATAGTGTTTTGGTTACACTGGCATTACAGGTTACTAGTACCCTGCTCTGTGAATGAGCTACAGTATAATAATACAGCATAATACCAAGGTTTTAAAAAGCAACATTTTTGAAGTAGTGACCCAAGTAAAACTAACAGTTCTCTGATACTGACCCTTTTAACCTGGCTATGGCATTGTGGTTAGCATGCAGTGTGTTGACACCTTCAAGTCCCAAGTCCGATTCCTACAAAAGAGATACATACCTATAGTATAGTGTAAT